GAAATGGACAGATTCCTAGGTACATATGAATTAGCAAAGTTGAATAAAGAACTTACAAAAATTCTCAATAACCTAATACTAGTCAATGAAGTTGAAAACCAATTAGAGAGGCTGGGAAGATGGCTCAGTAGAATAAGCATTTGCCTGGCAAGTAGAAGGGCCTGAGTACAATCCCCGGTTCCAGGAAAAAAAAAAATCAATTAGAAAACTTACCAACTATGAAAAGCCCAGGTTCTGATGGAGTCAAAGCTTAATTCTACAAGAAATTTATGGGAGATTTAATACCAACTCTTCTCAAACTCTTAAAGGAAATTGAAAGTGAAGAAATTCTCACAAACTCATTCCTAAAGGCAAGTATTAACCTGATACCAAAACCAGAGAGAGATCCAACTAAAAAAGAAAGCCATAGGCCAATCTCTCTAATGAATATAGATGCACAAATCCTCAACAACATAATAGTAAACAGAATGTAGCAAATCAGCAAGAAGATTATACATCATGACCAAATAAGATTCATCCTAGGAATACAGAAATTGTTCAATATATACAAGTCAATAAATGTAATACATCATATCAAGAAAGCCAATGACAAAAATCACATGATCATCTCAACAGATGCAGAAAAAGCTTTTGACAAAAGCTTTAACTCTCATCCATGATAAAAACTCATGCATATTATCTGATTATAGTGCAATGAAAATGGAAATTATTGACAAAAGAAATTTAATTCCATAAACACATGGAATTAAATAACACCCTTCTGAACCACCAATGGGTTACGATATTAATCTGTAATTAAAGAAGAAATTAAACAATATTTACAATCAAGGATCACCAAGAAGAACCTTTGAGGAGAGCTCAGTCTCTGAATACCTGATAGCAGCTCATTCGAAGAACAGAGAAAGAGCTTCATATTTATGCCAAGCCTCCTGAATTTTATAGCCATCTTTAAGTACACACACACACACACACACACACACACACACACACACAGAGAACTGCCTCCCTCACTGGAAGCACACTTACACACAGGAAACATGCTGAAGTAAAATTAAAAATCACTGACTCACTTTATAGCCTGGTGGAGCATGTGTTCACAAGTTTGTTCTTTCATTTCTGCTTCTTACCTAGACTGAGTAGGGCTTCCTGTCTATAGGGGTGGACAGTGGTATATGCAATGCACATCCACTTCCTGTCCTTTCCAGCTCTTTTGTATCTCCCCTTCTGCATAAGCCTCATCCTGCTCAGAGATGGAGGAATGTGTTGTGTCCCTCTGATGCTGGAAAGAGTGGGCACCATGTGTTTGACCTGGTTCCCATGACTCTAATAGGGGTCCTGGCCCAGACACAGCCATGAGCCATGTGGGGACATCCACATGCTCAGAAGTACAGGACTGGTTCCTGGCTAAGGCCATTACACAGGATGTAGACTGAGAAAGGCTTGTCATTGTTTGATGTCCAGAAATGTCAGGGGTGGATCACTGGGGGTGTGAGTGTGTTAGTTACAGGTGCTTATGAGGATTTCTCTTCTGCTCTGTGCCTCTAGGTGAGGGAGTCTCACTCAAGTTTATCATCACTGATTCTTCCATGAATCTGTCCTTTCCCTCCAAGTCCTGTCTCTGACATTTTCCAGGTCTTGGCCCTCTGCTGGAGCAGTCTCTGCTCTCCTGTGCCTCATGCTTCTCAGAGCAAGGACTTTGCCCAGGCCCTTGCTCCTCTGTCCAGTGATCTCATCATGTAACTTCAACAGCTGGTTGGGCATCAATCTCTGCAGTGGACATATCAGACCTAGCTGACCCCAGCCTTGTCAGGTCTTACCTGACTTCTCTTGTTACCTGTGGCTCTCTCTGTCATTACAATGGCCCATACCTTTGGGTCAAGTTGACTTCCAGCTTCTCTATTCTCTGCACACCCAGTTAGTCACTGATCAGCTGGCTTCAAAGTTCCCTGCTTTTGCTATCATCGTCATACATCCTGGCTTCTCAGCTCATCAGACTGTCTATAATGTGTCTCATTCTGGATGCAAGGGAGACAGTTTCCTCAGTTTTTAGCCTGGGGAGCTGTGTGCTCTTAGTCCTTTGCTTCCTCCACTGGCCTGGTCACCAGGGATGGAGGTAGGTGGAATGGTAGGCTGAATTGAAGTGCACTGGGGAAATTTGTCTACTGACCCCCAAGAAGCCTTGAGTGCCTTGCCTATTTCTACTTTCTGGAAGTCAGAGCTTCAAACTGTAGCCTCCCTTTCAGGAGGGTCCCCCTGCCTCCTGAGTCAGTACAATGGAGACAGCCCCTTCATGGTAACCCTTTGCTTCTTATCTTCTCTCAAAATGAGACCGGACGTGAGAATTCTGAAGAGCTGATGACCTGAACTTTATTACTCTTTTGCTTGGGAGGGCACAGATCAATTGTTTCTTTTTATTTTTTTGAACAACAGAATGAGTAACTTTAATGAACACAGAATCTGTGGAAATCCAGGCATTTACAGAAAATAGAGTGTGCAGTTGCCATAGTTTAAGGTGGCTCCTAACTTTTTACATGGAAAAACTAGAAAGAGTCAACAATTAACTTTTGTCTTGTCTGTTCAGCACCAAGAATAGCCAGAAATATTTGCATCCTATCGGATGAAATGTCTGTAAATTAGGTGAGTATATCTTCTTAGTTTTATGATGTACTCAGCAAGACCGACCTCCCAGCCCCTCGGGATGAGGGTGTCCCTCTCTTCCTTTAGCGCCAGGTTCGCATCAGGTCTGTCTATGGATGCTGCAGCCAGGGAAGCCACGGTCTTGTAGTTCTCCGCCATCACTTCCGTGTACAGGGCATGCCCGACAGACGTGAGGCTGGCCCATTCGTTATCACTGAAGGGTGTTTTCATGTCATCCAAAATCTCCAAGTCCTGAGGTTTGGACACAGCTGCCATCATATGATCTCTTTTATTCTTCAGGGAGAGACAAAGGTCTCAGGAGCGTAGCGCCGGGTGGCCTCTGGAACTTTCTGCAAGAGACCACTGAGACTCCAAGTGGCAGCCCTCCAATTGTGATTTCTTTAGCATTTATGAGTTAGTTTTATTTGTTACTTAAAAATAAAAATTAAATATATTTACATGCCTGTAATTATGACAGGTGATTTCAGTCTCGAGGCTGGAGTGGGGCTGGGAGGGTTTTTCCCAAGGGGCTGTCTAGGCGGGATCCTCTCATTTATCCTGTGTATAATACTTGGGTGAGCCAACTCTTGACACCCACACTGACACTGGAGCCTTCCTATTTTTGGCATCTGTACTAATCAGGGAAAGAGGAGAGAGAGAG